TGTTTACTGCACCTGGGACTTAGAGAGCATGACCATAGTAGGACGCCTAGCACCACGTTAGCTGCCCGCTTACCCTCTCCTTTCCCCTTCCTACCCACACACACTGGAGAGGAAGGTGGGGGAAAGAAGCAAAGTTCTTCTGCAGAAGCAAAGTTTTCATTTTGGCAAGAAAGTTAAGGAAACCTTCACCAACAATGATGACTATTGTAGAGACTGTTTACCATGGAAAGGGGGCTCCTGAAGGAACCACTGAGGGGGTAAGAGCGAAGAAAGTTGTCAAGAGTCAGAGCATCAGCAGTTCGTGACAGCAGTCCTCAGGTAGATTGAGAATACAGTTAAATCATGATGAGTCATGATAGCAGACTCAATTCATATTGACGAATGAATATCCGGTATTGTGAGTCCCCCCATTCACTGTTTTTGCCCCTCCCCAAATAATCTTGACTCTTTTTCTACATTTTTTCTTTAAGATATATTTTAGAATCTCTTTGTCACATTTTCCCCAATCCTGCTGTGATTACAATTGGAGTAGCATTTTAACTTTGGGAGATTTGCCATCTTTCCATGAGATCTTTCTCTTTTTTATTGTTTCTTTAGATAAACTTTTGATGTACTCCTTACACACATCCATAAGTTATGTTGAACTTAACCAAATTGTTCTAATATTGTAATGAGAACTTTTTTGTACTGTATTTCTTATTAATTATTAATAGACTATACAAAAACTATACTATTTTTAAATATTAACTTTATAATAACTAATTCTTTTTCAGTAGATTTCTTTGGGTTTCAAGGGTTTACAATCACATAGCTACACATAATTCTTTGGTACTTTTTTGTAATAAAATATTTTAAGATAATAAACCATTTTGTACTCCTGAAATGAAGTCTATATTCTAGAGGTGCATCACATAATATTCTACTTCAAGGGTCTTTCCATTATTTATTTGATTTTTATTTATTCATTTATTTATTTATTTTAATTAGACCAGAGAGAGAGAAAGGGAAAGTGAGAAAGCAAACCATCAGTCCTAAGATTCGAACTATAGTCAGCTATGTGGGAGTCCAGAGCCAGATACCAGACCACCTGCCAGCCCTTTTGAGGTTCGTTTTAAGTGCTCCTAGATTCAATTCACAGTAACATTTCAGAAGGTTTTTTTACATTTATATTTGGACAAATCAAAACTGAAATCATTTTCTCCATATAGATTTGTCAGCTTTCAAGATTCAGTATCAGGGAAGTAGTGACTTAAAAGAATAGGAAACATGTTTTATTATCCCTGAAAAATATTATATTCCTGAGACCAGCAGTTAGCATAATGGCTATGTTGCTGGACTCCCATGTAGTCGACTGTGGTTCGAGTCCCAGACTCGGTGGCTTAAAACTCACGCCAGGCGCGTGTGTGTGCGTGCCCAAGATCCCAAGAGGAGAATGGAGGAGAAGGGATTGTGGCGTGACCATCCCCCCTGGGGGGTGATTTCTCGCTTTCTGTCTCTATGTCTCTCTCTGTCTGTCTGGCGAGTGCACGCACCCTACAGTGAAAATCTCTCAAAAAAAAAAAAATATTGTATTCCTGAAAGAGTTTTAATAGAAGTGAATGTATCTAAAATCACCTATAATCTCACCACAAAAAGGTCACTACTATAAATCTTTACAGAGTTACTGTTCAAATAGCTGTTCTATTACAAAATGGCTCAGGCTGACTTACAAAGAAACCAAGTGAATTGGGTGTTGTCAGGCCAGTCACTGACATTCGTGTGTAGGTGTCAATTTTGAATAGCTTCATGGGAGTACTGGCATTCTGGGAGGCATTTGCCTGGCCCTCCAAAGCTTGGGAAGACTCCATCTACCTTCCTGTCTCCCCTTCTCAAAGATCAACTTAGTGATCTCAATAAATAGAAATAAATCAACCTTCCCATTGAGTCTGGCAAAATATTGGCACTCTCTTGAGTGAAAGCTATATTCTTGAGCAAATACTGGAGAAATATAGATTGGGGAGTCTGTTTATTTTTATTTTGTTTTTGTTTTTGTTTTTTTGTAAATTGCCAAAAAGACATGTGCATTAGCAAGAGGGAGACAGATAAGCAGAGAGAGAGTGGGAGAGGGAAGACGCAGCTCCCAATGGCTCATGGTCACACTATGATCCATTCTTCTCCACTTCTCCATCCTGTCAGGATTTGGGGCACTCACACGCACATGCCAGCATGTTTCTCAAGCCACCAGAGCGGGGAGTCAAACATTCATTTGGCTATGTGGGATCTAGTTCCCCTACCACCAGTCTACTGGGCCAGCCCGATATGTGTTTTTGAATATTTAATTTATGAATCACATAAATGATTATTATAAGCATCTACACTACCATAACTCAGCATTTATAATGCAACATTAAATTCAACCCTGAAGTCACACAAATATTAAAATAATGTTTAAAGAACTGTGACCTTTTGCATTGGGATAAACCTTTTTCTATTTTACATGTCATTAGCATGCAGACCATTAAGCAATTACAAAAGCTTGAACTTAAGATAAAATTATATAAACAAAATTAACCTTATTTTGGCTTCAGAATGCTGGAATAATATTATTTCAAGGTTGAATGTTATATTTATGTTTAAGTGTTTTCTTAAATAAACTTTCTGAAAAATATTCACTAGTCTTGCTGCGAGTATAAACCACTTCCAAAATGGGCAAAGCCTTCAGAAAAACATCAGTGCATCTCTCTTGCCTATCATATCTAGAGTTTTAGTATAACCAAATAGGGATGAAAAGATCTGCACATAATAGAAACTTGCAACCTCGAGACCTGGAATATTGATCAGTGGTTATGTGCAAATTGAGCTCTAAATTCCAATCCATACGGACTCCCAACCTGCTGATTTCACTGGACTCCTTATGCATTGTCTAAGCATCTCCTGATCAGGGAAAGTGTAACGTCCCATAGCTACAAGAAATCAGTTCTTTCCTTTGGGGATAGCAGGGTATAATCAGTTTTAAAACACATGACTGTTAGGTCTTTTCTTCAAAATACAATGACTTTAATATTTTTATGGTTATAAAATACCACATTCATTGTATTAAAAGCAAAAAGTTAAGACCAAAAATAATAATAATGCATTTTAAATCACCTATTATTTCTCCACTAATAGGTCACTAATATAAATCTTTACAAATTTGCTTTTTGAATAATTCTTCTAAAATGGCTCATACAATGTAACTAAATACTGATCTTCCACATAGATATCATGTGACTTTCTTTAAAAATAATTCTGTTTTTTGCAACTGTTTTCATTGCATTCTATTATATGAGATCAGAAAATACGTATACAGCACTTAAAGAATTTTTTTTTGAGAGGTTTTTGTTATAGGGCCCATGCACTCGCCAGACAGACAGAGAGAGACATAGAGACAGAAAGCAAGAAATCACCCCCCAGGGGGGATGGTCACACCGCAATCCCTTCTCCTCCATTCTCCTCTCGGGATCTTGGGCACGCATGCACACGCACCCAGCATGAGTTTTTTAAGCCACCGGGTCCGGGACGCGAACTACGGTCGACTACGTGGGAGCCCAGAGACATAGCTATTATGCTAACTGCTGGTTCCCCTTAAAGAATTTTTTAAAATCTGTATGAGTTACTGTCACTTTCACTAGTCATCAATAATATTTATGTGTCCAAATAGGGACAGAAAAAATGTTTAACCATTGAATTAAAATGATGGAATGCATGATTTGCTGTTTATTTATAAAAACACTCAAAACATCTTTGCCATTATTTCCTCTCATTCTCATCCTCTTTTTTTCCTATTTCCCTATCTGCCCTCCAATTACTCTCTCAGTCTCTTACCTCACCCACTGCATCACTGGTGTTAACAACCTGAATTCTAACAACCTGACAATTAAAGTGGACAGGTATAGGATTCTACCAGGAAAATATTTTGTAAAATGTAAATATAGCCTCTTTGTATGTCTCTCTCTCTCTCTCTCTCTCTCTCACTGTGTGTGTGTGTGTGTGTGTGTGTGTGTGTATGTATAGTGTATATATACATATACACTATACATATATACACATTCATAAAATAGTCATGAATGGAATCCAAAGAAAGGAAAGAAACTAGTCATGTGAGAGGTCTTCAGAAATTTCATAGAAAATGCATATCATAAAAAAATCATACATGGATTTCAAAAAATTTTTGGAATAAAATAAACTCATATGTTAATTCAATTTTCCATCCAATTTTTAAGTACCCTCAAACATTTTGCTTCTGGAGTGGCTGGGAGTAGGGGCAGAGATGGAAAGGAAACTCTTATATGTATACATACACACACATATATATACATACATATATATTATGTTTTTATGCTTCAGAAATACCTTTAAAACACAGCCTATCCAAAGAATAAAACGCTGTATCTTACCTATATGTCTACAGATACACAAAGTTATTAGCTTAGTCGTGTCTAAGCTGCTCCAGATTCCCAAGTGCTCAGAGAAATGAAACCAGTAACTGTAACTGTGTCAAGTTATGGGTCTGCAAAAGAAAAATACGTTTTCTTTTCTCTAAAAATAGTTTAAGGTGCCATTCCTTAGAAAGATGCCATCATGGGCTTAGAGTGTGTTTGAATCACTGACCTGGCAAGGACACCCAGCATCATCTCTATATCAAACGGTGTGTTAGCGTGTCTGGCCACACACACACACACACACACACACACACTCCCACCGTGCAGCAGTGTGGTAGAGGAATCTTCTGAGATGAGTCCTCCTATGCACTGGAGACAGCTGCCTTGAGGTAAGCAAATTGACAGAAGTTCAAGTCACGGCCATGGTCCTTTGTGAAACACAAGTTACCCTGGTTCTTGGCCATGCAGACCCTGTCTGTGCCCTTGGTACAACACAGGTGTACAGAGATGCTGTTCCAATTTGAGAGCTCACATATCGCTCTGTGCAGGGTTCCAATGTCCTTGCTTTGGCCTCACTGTTTTCTTGCTCTTGATTTGCAGGTAGTGAAATCAACATTATCCAAAGATTATCATTTTATTAAAATGAAAAGATCAAAGAACCATACCGTGGGAAAATACTTCAGCAATCAGAACAAACTACAGCAGCGACAAGACTCTGGAACTCACGTCCCGTCACCTTATCATGTCAGAGGTCCAATCAATCAGGTTTGTTCTGAAATCCTTCTCAGCAGGATGTGTGCAGGTGAAAGGACCGAGTAGACTCACCGCAGGAGAACAGAATTTGGAATCAGAAACAAGACAGTGACCTAGACAAGGGTCTAGGAACCAAGCCCTGTGCATCGCAGGTATTCACTGGCCGCACACACTTGCGCACACTGGCATACACGTGCACAGCAGTACACACAGAGCTAAAAGCGTGCTTTTGCGGCCTTACAAAGTCAAGATATGAACTTGAACAGTTCATTTCAGAGTAAAAGGTGAAGCTAGAAAAAGGTTACTTGAAGTACAAACATAAACTAGGACCACCATGAGCCAGGTTTTGCATTATGAAAATGAAGAGAAAAGACACTTGAATTATGTGGAAAGAGGAAAACACTCTTTGTTGTTATTTTATCTTCTCTATAGGTACATTAATATTGAAAGGGGGGAAAATAATTACATTCCACTTGCAAGTAGGGATTGTGCTTGTGTTTATTACCAGGAGAAAATGTCGTGTTTATGATGGCTTAGGCCTTGTGAATCTAATGTTTATGCAAAACAGTTCCTCCTATATTTTTTAACCTTTGTAATGGAAAGAAAAAGAACAGGAATGCTCCAGAAGGGAATTTAAAAAGACTCAAGGAGGAAAATAGGAAGTGAAATATTTTACAGTTAAAACACCACTTTATTTAGCTTTCCATAAACATTCCCTCCTGTCCTGTGAACTCAAGGGAAACTGCAGTGTAAACTGATGAAATACACCATTTTAAAGTGAGGAACAAAATATAATTCCTCATGTATTGTTTTTCTATATTTCATTGATAATATTATTTAAGAACGCTTCTGTTTGTTATTACAACCCTATGTAATCTGAGTACAATTGTACTTCAGGTAAATGTTTTGCAAAGCAGTATGCATTTTCAAATGTGTAGGTATTTTTTTTCCATAACACGTTTGTGTATGTCCACAAATAGCATTATGTTATTAGTATCTATATTTTATTTTTCTGAGCAACTGTATCTAATCTAAATTTAGAATAGGTATAAAATTATTTTTCAATTAAAATCATGGCATATATAAAAGGCACATTTAATTCTAGTATTGGAAACTTTCTCTTCTTGTTTTCAGGTTCACAATGGTAAATTTCTTTACTATACAAATGCTTTATTGTGAGATCACATCTTAAGGTTCTAATGGCTTTTAAAGGATTATTTTTCCTTGGGGGCAGGGGAGGTGGCAGCTGAGAGGGTTTATTGAATGCATGGCTAAAATTACCAAATATACAAATACCTCAGTTTTATTACCATACCCAATGAAACTATTTTAATTGATCAGTTCCTTAGTATGAATATCCTCCTTTAAATATTCTATTTTTATATATATTTTTTATATGAATTTAAACATGAACTTATATTTAACTGTCTTAAATTATATTTAAAGGCAAATATTACTTGATATAATCCATACATACCTGCATTGTACAGATTTTAGATTTTTAAAAAGAATGGTACAGGATATGCAAGCACCATTTTGTAGGTTTTCAGTGATTTTTTGTGAAAACACTATAAAATGTGGCCAATTGATGTGGTTTCTCCATCATGCTGTAGTATGCATTTCATATAGTCTGTGACAGTGTTCCAGTCCATTGTAAACTGCAGTATTGGAATTTACTGTTAACCTAATTGTAATTACCATCTGACTGAGGTTAGGCTGGCATTTACCTTTTCATCACTGAGACGGCAGTGAATTTTAGAAACCATTGTAATACTATTGTTAATAAATTTCTTTCTGGTAATCATCTGTGTCTAGAGAGTATTTTTTACTTTTATTTTTACTGAAGGTATCCAACCACATAAACAGTAGGCACTTGGTAGAGATATTATGTAGATTCATTAACAGGACTGACTAGATAGTTCCTGCCAACCCTGATATTCTCTAAGTTTATCATTGGATAATCTCTCTGCTGTAAAATGACTAAAGTTTTCTAACACAATGTAATAACAAGTTTGGTTCTTTCTTTTTTTATTTTTTTTAAAATAAGACACTGAAATACTAGGAATCCTTTTAATTACTCCTTAATTAAAATTACATTTTATTTTACCTTAGAGAAAATAAACATGTGGGTGCACGTGTGATGGTATGGGTTTAGCATTACCAAGTTCCTAATTTCAGTGGAGTAAAAACTAGGAGTTGGCACTGAACATATTTTTAGCTATAAAAGTTACAGGAAGTGTATTGTTTTTGGTAAGAAATGATTAGAATCCAATCCAAACTAAACTAAACTAAACTAAAGAAAAACATTTATAATATTATAAGTCAAGAATAACTGTATAAACATGGCCAAGCATCATTGTTGACATTCTGTGTGTGGGGGCGTGTGTGTGCGTGCATGCGTGTGTGTGTGTGTTTAAAGGTGCAGTTCACTAATTGTGAGACGTCCAAACAGTTAAATTAGATTCTGTACAGACAGAATGAAAAGAAGGGCTGCTGGTTGGGTTTACATTTGGATTTTTCTGTCTTCTTCCTGGTTGCTGATGTGCCTAGCACTGTTCTCTACAACACAGTAATTCCCATTTAGAAAGTGATTAAAGAAATTACTGATTTTGGCGACCAGCAGATGGAGTAATGGCTATGTCGCTGGACTCCCATGTAGTCGGCCGTGGTTCGAGTCCCGGACCCCGTGGCTTAAACTCACGCTGGGCACTTGTGTGTGCCTGAGAGGAGATCCCAAGAGGAGAATGGAGGAGAAGGTTTGTGGCATGGCCATCCCACCTAGGGCATGATTTCTTGCTTTCTGTCTATCTGGCAAGAGAATGCGCCCTATAGCAAAAACCTTTCCCCTAAAAAAAGAAAAAAGAAAGTAATTACTGATTTCGAAGATGGCAATAGTTTCAATAATGTTTATGAGGGGAAAAAAAATGCTATCCTACATCAGAATTTTCTCCTTTTAATTTCATTTCACTGAAGGGTTCCAAGAAATCAAAACTGGGTCAAAGATTAGATCATTTGATGCGAGTCATTTCAAAGCTGTAATCGTTTGGTACAGGGGAAGAAGGCATCTAATATAATACTATGAATTAATAAACTAATACCCTCGCTTGATAATCAAGGTTAGGATCTTATTAAATATTGCTGTAAGGGCTTTTCATTTGAGCAAGTGCTGAAACAATCATCAGTAACTAATATTTTTCTCTAAATTTTTACCTTATGAAAATGTTGAAAATATCATCAAAATTCAGTGGCTAAGATTATTGTATTTAACAAACACAGCTGAGTAAGCGTACATGGGCTGAAAACTTTAAAAATGTGTTTCCAAGTCAAAAATGATGCCACAGCAGGTGATACCATTTGCCTACATCAAGAAAAAATCACCCTACAAATGATACTGTATTTTTTTTAATGTGGATTTAAAGTTTAAATGACTTTGATCACTCTTAGAGACTAGGGGATTTTGATCTATCACTTCAGCTTAAGAGGCTGAATCAGAAGTCCCAAAAAAAGAAAAGCCCAGTGGGCTACTGGAGACAACAAGACACTGCAGTGCCTACAAACTCGATTTGGTGTTTGGAAGGGCCAAGGCTTCAGACTGTCAAAAGGAGCCTTGTATCATGTTTTTATTGCAGCAGTAACTGCTATGATCTACTTCCATATTTCCTTTATGATTCATTCACTCCGTGTGAGGGGCTGTAGAAGTCCTTTTTTTTTTTTTTTTTTTACATACACCATGCGGTCCTCC